TTTTACATTTTAGTATAGTTAACTTAAAACTAATTTTTGAAAAATTAAAAATACTACCTATGTAATACAACAGTTGACATGACACTTAATGATTTCATTTTTTACATGAATACATTTTACATTTTACATTATAGTATAGTTAACTTAAAACTAATTTTTGAAAAATTAGAAATACTACATATGTTATACAACAGTTGACATGACAATTAATGAATTCATTTTTTACATGAATACATTTTACATTTTACATTATAGTATAGTTAACTTAAAACTAATTTTTGAAAAATTAGAAATACTACCTATGTTATACAACAGTTGACATGACAATGAATTCATTTTTTACATTAAAAATGAAAATTCAAAATTTTATAAAAATGTATACAAAGTAATACAACAATTTATATATTTAATTTATAAATACAAATTTTTAACATACGTTTTGCCAACATTAACAATAACACAAAATTAAGTAAATAACTAACAATTTAAGAACAAGTATTACCATTTATTGATTTTATTATGGCGCATTTTCTAAAAACTCTTTTTCGTGTTGACCTTCAGCAACATAGACCATAAACACTGCTGTTCCGTTGTTAATTGGACACCTACAATTATATGTAAATTATTATATACATGTTAAGTAATAATTATTTATTTAAGTGCATACAAATAAATTGAGACTATTTTAAACATAAGGTATGATTTTAAATAACTTATCTGAAACAACAATAAAAATTCAATGCTAGAAACAAATCACTTAATACATTTTTTAATTACTCAAATCAACAATTTTTAATTCATATAAAAACTAATACTGTTTTTTCTTCCAAATAAATGAAAGTAAGATATTGAAATTTAATTTTAAATTAACACATTGTAAAAGTAAACATTTCAATTAATTTTAATTAATAGAGTATATTGTCAAAACAAATGACAACATTTTATTTAGAATGTCTATTATATCTCAAGAGAATTCATAAAAACCTTCACAGACTTAAGTAGTTATTTAAATATCAATTTAATAAATCTTTTTTTAAAGATTGAATTTACCTTTGTATAAAATTATAACAATGAGTTCTCTGGATATATTTTGTTTTTAGAAATGACTATTTATTTCACAATATGGAATACTAATAAAGTTATTTGCTTTGATAATTATTTTTAATTTTCATGTTAATAAACCAAACAATAGTGTTTTAGATTAACAGAAAATAGTAACATGATACCTTAATAATGTTAGTGCTTCTCCTAAAGTACATGTTTGTGTTTCTATTTTTGTAACTTTGGTAGCAATCTTAAATTCATTTAAAAGTTCAAAATAAACATTTACAGTGTCTGCACTATATTTTCCTTCAACATCCCATTCTGGTCTTTCAGAAAATATTTCCATTAAGTAGTCATAAAACCTGAAAAAAGATAAAATGAATAAACATTTAAGCACACAATTTTTCAAAAATTATAAATGATGATATTAGTTAACAAATTACAAATTAATTAATTTGATAAATAATGTTTTTATCATTTAAAAAAAATCACATCCTAGCACAATTATTTTCATTGTTGCAAATTACATTATTTCAATAACATACTAAATAATTTTAAAACAAGAAGGAAAAAATGAATATTTAATTTAGTCACTTTCATATTAGAACACGTAAAACAATTGTAAATGCATCTATGATTTCATTTATTTCAAAGAATTTATAAATATAAATTTAATAGATTATCAATAGGGCCTGGATTTAAATGCACTTAAAATCATACAAATATGCTCTAAAAAATAGCCAAAAATGTCCTTAAAAAATGCATTTTACCACAAAAATGACATAATTTATTTTATGTTGAACATTATTTAACACACTATTTAATACATTAAAATCACATTCACACATAATACAAGCAACTTCTGCGAGGTAATACGAACTAAGTAATTATTTTTTATTTGACCGAATACTGGTGACGTACCATAGACAATAATAAATTAAGATAAGATAAAAACTGAATCGAAAAAAAATTTTATTTAATAAAGATTAACAATGTGTTCGAAAAACCCAATAAACCTACTTTAATATCAAGAAAATAATTTTGTCTTTTGATTTTATTTTGAATATGCTAAATTTGTTTAGTATATCGAACAAATATGCATTAAAAATCAAAATAATGACCCAATAATACTAAAAATATTCTAAAAATGAAAAAACGTCGAAATATGCAAAAAATGCAAAGTAAAATTTGTAGTTTTGAAACCCTCATTACATGAAACGAATTATGTTCTTAGAGAACACTGTATGATCAACCAAAAAAATATGCACTTTGCATTGAAATCCAGGCTCTAATTATCAATTAATTTAATAATTTAAATTATCAATTATACAAAGTAAAAATAGTTGAAACAATTTTGATTCATACAAATAATTTGACAAAGTTAATTAAGTCTAGTAGCCTTATAGTCTTGGTAAAAATTATATTTTTGAATATTCAACTTCATCAATTCTAACAATAGTTGTATATGTCTCTACAAACTTAATTAATTAGAAGTACTGAATTTAAAAAATTTTTTAAAACTTTTTGGTCTATTGTATACCGATTTCAAAATGAATATATTATTATTTCAAACCGTATTGTTTTAAATACTTACTCTACAATCTTTAGAGAAGAAGCTTATTAAAATAACTAAACATGTTATCTTTTATTTTTCTAATTTACATAACAATAAACCACAATCTTCAATTATTAATTTTTTTAAATGAATATAAAAGTTTCAAACTTCAAAATAATTTTACAGTTTTTTTTTTTTTTACATTTAAAGATTTCCTTTCTAAGATTCATTTTCTAAAAATGTTTATAATAATATTATAAATGTAAAATCAAAAGAACTATCATTGAACAGGTATTTTTTTTTGACCCTGTCATCATCACATTAATATTATAAAGATGTACCATAACAGATAAGCTTGTCCATTTTCCTAACATTATTATTATTCAAAATATTTTTTAAGTAAAATTATTAATTATAAAGTTATTTGCAAATTATACTATTTTAATTGTGTTTTTGAAATATATAAAAAGTCCAATTCAAGTCAATATAGTATCTAAGTTCAAATTATATATATATATGTATTTTTCCCTATTTCACTAATAGTTGAATATACTGACGTAGAATCTTCATGAAATTCTTGTATGATATCAGAAGTCTGATACTCTGGATACAAAAAAGTAACTGGCCATACTAATCGATTCTCTACCAAATGCACTGGCTGTACTAATCCAGGTACTTTAGGATCTAACACCGCTAAATCTTTGATCGGACCACTTAATTACCAATATATAAATATGATTATAATTACCATTAAATATAAAACTTAAATATTGCTTTCTAAAATTACTTTTTTTGCCAATAATACACAATTGTCTTTTGTTAAGTTCATCTAATAATCTTTGTTTTTCGACTTCTCTCTGTTTTTGAATCTTCATTGTTTTTCTTTTTTTCATCTCTATAATTTTCTAATTAGTTTAAAAAATAATACATTTAACATTGCATTACAATTAATTTAATTCCAAATTTTACTTTAGATTTAATTGCTTCTTTTTTTAATTCCATTACAATATTATCTCCTGGAATTTTTTCCAAATATTTATCACAATAATCTACACATTTATCAAACTCTTTTAATTGGATACAGCAATTTATTGCTCTTAAGATTGTTTTTTCATAGTCAGGTTTTATTTTTAGGGCTTGTTCAGCAGCTATCAAACTTGACCTAAGAAAAAACAATCAAATAATTAATATTAATTATTTGAAATATATGGTAATATGTTTCTCAATTGAATTACATGCCTGAAGTTCTTTAAAAAATAATGAGAAGCAGACATATTGTTAAACATTTGAGCACGCAATTGATCATTTTGAAAATTTAGTTTAAGGCCTTCTTGATAACTCATAATGGCTAATTTATATTTACGACACTTGAAATTAAAATTTCCATCTTCCTTGTGTTTAGTTGCCAACTCTTCAGGAGTGTTATCATCTGGATCATATCGAAGATTTTGCAATCCTTCAACTAGAGGTGATAGCTCATCTTCTGGTTTAGGAGGCTTGCTCATGAAAAATGGATGCTTTTCCATTTCCTATAACAATATGCCAAACCGAATAAACATTATTAATCACACAACTCTATGAAATAATAGTTGAAAGTCACCTCGCGCCATGTTTCTTCTTTCCAACCATCTTTATAAGGTGTACGCTGCAAATTGTCTATAAAATTATCCAAATCTTCGTCAAGACGAATTGCAAGTTTTGCACGTTCCTCATCGGTCATCACCTTCTTATTGGGGGCATCTAAAATCCTAAAAAAAAAATTAAACAATCAATAATTTACAATGGTTTAACACTCGACATCTGTGCAAATATAATGTAAAACAAAGTTCTACAGTATTTAAATTGAAAATATACAAATAATAGATAAATAAGCTTACTTGTCCATTTCAATTTTAAAGTTTCACTATGGTAAGATGTTACACTACATAACTATTCACCAGTTTCTACCCAGGTATTCTTCATAAATGTTTTGGATATTGATTTTTTTTTAATAATAATATTTTTACGAGCACATGTTATCAAATCTTATCATAAATTGTCAATGATATTCTTTGTTTTTCCATGAATATTTAAAAATCCGCGTTTTTTTCCACACGTTGGTTGAACAATATTTATTGAGTCATTTTACTTAATAAATTACATTGATTATAGACGTAAACTGGGGCAATTGCCCCTCTAGAATACATTAGGAAGGTCAGTGCCCCCTCTGATATTTAACATACCTTGTTTTAAAATAAATACAAAACAACTGATTATAGCTATTACTATAACATTTTTTTTTTTAAATCTTAATTTTAAATTTTCGCTTATCTAACATAATGTTAGAAAATGAATGATTTTATATAATAATATGTAGGTAATAAAGCGGCGTTTAGCCTCGGACACCCTTTTCGTTAAATATGTAATTATATTATTGCCCTCCCTTAAAAATGTCTAAGTTACACCTATGACATTGATAATTATTAATTAATAGTCATTTTAACATAACTGGAATATTAGGATATAGTATTCTTGTGTACATTTACCACTCTATCTTATCACCCAAAATCAAATGGATTAGTGCAATTAGGATCTTAATTCTTGAATCTTGATTCATCAACAAAACATAATATTGAATTTAAACTTTTACTATTGTTGGTAAGTGGCATAGGTACCAAATTATTTATAAAATTACTTTTATTTGACTGAGATATAACAAAAGGAGGATGAGTTAAAGGAGAGTACTTTAAGATCAATTTTTTATAATAGTTTACAGCAGATGATCATTCTATTCAAGATTTTGTGAACAAAAATAACATCAAAAACTAACCATCTGGTCTTCAACGTCTTTAAATACGCAAAATTTACAATAATTTCTGTATTATGGTTAATTATCGGGGTTTTATAGGCATAAAATTGAAGAAAGTTTCTCTTGACCTTTTCTGGTTTATTATTGAAATATATTTGATAAGAATACTGTACCAAATTATAAAAACAATATAGTGTTTTAAGACATAAAAGATTATTTAAATCATAGCATGTACATTAGATGAACCCTAAAACAAAAACTTTTACATTCTATTTATATATGCATTTATATTAAATAAAATTTATAATATTCTACTTTTTTTATTATGTTAATACAAGAAAATATAATCTAATTATCTACTTATCCTGATGTTTGCAATAGTGAACATTTACACTACCTTATATTTATCGAATCATTTTATCATACAATATTTTAATAAATAGAACGTTAAAATATCCTAGCCCCTTTCAAAGGTAATTGATTTTTTTTTAAAAACTAATCTGAAGATTGGTTCAATGATTATTAATGTCTCTCTCCATTTTTCTCTGTTACTTATATTTCTCTTTAATTCCCAGTATATTCTTATTCCAGTATCTTCCATTACTTGCTTCATGAATGGTTTTTTAGGCCTTCCTTTTCCAGATTTTCAATTGCTCCCTCCATTATTGTGGTTATCCAAAAAATATTCTTTATTATATGTCCAATTCATGCTTTTCTTCTTAATTATAGTGTATAACATGTTGATTTTTGATTATTCATTTCCCTGAAAACCTCAACATTCTTTACCGTTTCTATTTTATTTTTTATAGAATTATAATCATTTTAAATATAATTCAATGAAACATCAGGTAATTTAGAATATTTTAAAATAAATGACATGCATTACACAGTAAACATTTAATATTTTATCACATAAAAATATTAAATTAATTTGAGTTATCTTAAAGTAATGTGAAAACAGCTTCTATTTCATGAGTTTTACGTAACAATATATATTATTAAACTGTAATTATATAAGATAATATTTAAAAAATAACCTAAAAATGCAATAAATATAATTTATATACTTTCTTAAAATAACAAACGGATGCAATATTCTAAAAAAAGGTAACAGAAAAATGTTAGCATCAACATTTTTAGTTACCTTATAAAATAAATAGTTTTAGTACTAAATATATTAATAATTCATTATATTCAAAAATTTAAATACAATTTAGTATAGAAGATGATTAATGATTAAAAGATGATTTTTCATAAGCTTCTTATTTTGTCTTTGCTTGTTTTGCCATAAAAATATTCATCCACAACTATATTTAAAATAGTCAAATCAATTTTTAAATTATTATTTACAAATAATTATTTTTTTCACATTATATTATTAACTAAAATGTATACTCATATTAAATTACTTTAATACCTTAAACAGATTGTTGTTGAAACATATTTTTCATATCCAAAGGACTATGACCAATCATAGATTTTATGTCACCAGAAAATTTATAAACAAATTTCCCTTTGGCTCTTTCTATTATACCTTTTCCATAATGGTATCTTAAAGCTGCAGCCATTTTGCTGTAGTCCATTTTCCAATTGTTTTTCACCAAACCCCACATGATAGAAACAGTATTTGGCTTAATTATTTTGAATGTTCCTTCGTTGTCTACCCATTCAATTACATTTTGATACTCACTATCTGTTAATAAATTTAATAGAAATCTCCAGATTTCTATATTATGATTAAAATCTGAAGTTGAAAACATTTTATTTTTATAGTTAAGTAATGTAGGTATATCAATACATTCTTCATCTTTTTGTTTTATGTACACTTTGTGCATAGTCTTAAGTAGACAAACATGTGTCCAAAAATCATCAGTAGGTGACTTGATTTCTAAAGCAGCAATATTCCAACAGAAATTATCTGAAGTCAACTGTTTCCCATTTACTGTCAAATGATCTGTGTTTACATTTTTTAAATTATATTCATTTTCAGCCCATTTTATCCAAGTGTGAACTTGTTCCTAAATAAAATATACTTAACTGAATAAGCTTGTATTTTATTTTATATAAAAAATTCATACCAAATTGTTTGATAACAAATAGTACTACTAAATATTCAACAAGATTTTTTATGATTTGTATTGTCTTATCAATTGTAAATATTTAAAAATATAAAAATGTTACGATGGCCAATTTACTTATTTAAAAGCAATACTTTATTTTCATAATTATTCACATTTTTCGATTAAAATTAGAAATTAACAATGTCATTTAATCTAAAACTATATTTCAATAACTATTACTTTAACCATTTCAGTTTTATCAGCCAGTAGCATGGTTTTATTTTAGACTTAATGTTGGATAAAAAAAATATTTGCATTATGAATAATTTATTAATTTACTAATGAAAATTTTGGTTTTTTAAATACTTATAATTAACACATATATAATATATTGAAAGTTATTTTTTGAAAATTGATGCAAATATGATAAATAATTTTAAAAATTAGTCAATCTTGTGAGTAAATAATATTTTTGTTTACAGCTATTATTTAAAATAAATCTTTAAATTAAACAGTTTTAAAATATTAAATCACTATTTTATTCATAAAGTAGTCTTCTTTACAAAAAAGTATTTTACACAAATCTATTTAATGCTTTTAAAATAATTTTCCTCTGTAAACTAGGTGATAAGTATTCAGATGTTAATACTTTACTTATATCTAAGATACTAATAAGCTTTATTTTGTTATAATTCCCATAAAATTGAAAAAAAAACTCAAAAATAATATTCCATCAAGCTTATTTCTTAGTTTGAAGTATTTACATAAAAATTAATTTTTTAGTCTTTAATTATAATGGAATAATGTAGACACTTATATTAATATCAATAAAATTATAATGCTGAAAATGTAATCACATTTTTTGGTCAGTATACTTTAAATATTATTTAATATTAATTATTATAATTATTATAATACATTTATATAATTATGTATATACCTGATTCCATTTACATGGATCCTCGGGTAGTTTGAATCTAATATAAAACTGTTCCTCCACAACCCAATGAAAACCATTTTTGTCAAATACTTTACAGTTTCTATTGTCAAATGTTCCGGCATTTAATCTTCTACCAACCACAAAAACAGTCTCATACCACTCAGTAGAATCCATAGAGGATCATTCATTGTAATGCCTATTAAAAAAAAAAAAATTATGAATGTTTAAACATATATATGTATGAATTGAAAGAATGAATGGCTTACCTTCACATACTGATATTTACCAACAGCTAGATGCACATATTTTCGATTGTAAGTTAGTTCCATATTATTTACCGTCGATTAATTATTCAATAGCAAATTTAAAAATGTGTCTAACACGCAAAGGCATTGCGTAGAAAGACAAATACAACTTATTAACATAAACACCTGAAAACATTCAAAAACCAGTTAATAAGTTGAATACATAGCATAATATTCGTTTTAAGTTATTTAGAACTTCTAACGTAGATTTTTCAAACTTTAATGATAATTGATATAAATTAATTGTGATAACAATAGTGGTGATAACAATTGATAATAAAATTAATAACGGATCACAATAGAACAATAATATTACACAAAGCTATAGTATTATTACTCTATGCACAAAGCTGACGAATAAAAATTACATTATGTAGTCGGACCAAAAATTTTCATCGGCGTTTAATTATTTAATGATCTATGATTAGATAGATTTGATAGGCATAAAAAACGCAGCGATTTGAGGAGGAAACTTGATCGTTCAAAAATGTTCATTAGGTAACCCAAATATTATAAATATTTTAAGTCCCGATATTTAATATTTGTGAGAATTTAATAAAATAGGTAAGCTTGTACACAATTATTATGAAGTTGGTGAACTATCTACTTCCAAGTTGTGTTAAAAACGTTGGACTAGAGGCAGGCCTATATTTAAAAATTTGGCGCTTCCGGGGAATTAATTTATGCCCCCCCCCACCAAATATAAATAATAATAACACTTATTTCGTCCATAATCAAGATCCTTTAATATTAAAATATAACTTATAAATGAAAATTATTTAATACTTTTTTTAATTAACAAATTAAACAAATTATAACATAATACAACATACAATTTCTTTTTTTTTAACCAACAAATTATAATATAATAAAAATACAATTTTTTTTTAATTTACAAATTATAACATAATAAAACATACTATTTTTATTTTTTTTTTCATTAGGTACATAATTTTTAAAATTAATTTTGCTAAAATATTTGACCGCCCCTGAGACTTGATGCCCCCAGGCATGTGCCTAACCGTGTCCCCTCCCTCCTAAATAAAGTTCTGACTGAAGGAAAAGAGATAATTTTGTTTATTTATTCGTCAAGAAAGTAGAATGTAAAAAAGATTCTTTGGAAAAAATTAACGGAACCTATACCTTCCAAAAATATCTGATGTGTAGTGTAGGTATTTCGGCTCGGTTTTCGCCTCACCTTGTGTCTTTTATGGAAAAAAAATCTAAAAAATCACACGAAAAAAATTTTCGTTAACGTTATTAAATTTATAGCATAGAAGTAAAACGTTTAACATTTTTTCAATACAACAAATTAGTGTCGGCATATTTGTAAGTGATTTTATAAAATAATTAGAAGCTTAGAAGGTTGAACAGAATCCAACTACCAAGTTCATACAAAACCTTTCCCGAGATTCAAAATCACTGGCAAAGTTGAAGTTAGTCACCAAGTTAATGGAGTTTTATTATTTATTAATATTATTATAGTTCTATTATTTTAATATGAAATCAATGGTATAGCTAATAATATATGTTACAATACTCGTATTGTTATTTTTTCTTGTGGCTATCAATCGTTAAAAATCAATTTTTAGCTCAATTTAAAAGTTATCAAACAGGTAATTGGTTTAAAGTAAAACAGATGTACAATTTACAATATTCGTGGCTTGTGAAAACGCGTTTAAATGATTGAATTTCACACCCATAATCAGTGTTCGACTTGAGGGGGGACGCAAGAGGACCGAGTACCTCAACTAATTTTTAGAAATTTTAGCGTCCCTCTACTATAATTACGCTATAATCATAACGCTCAGCCAGTTTTGGGGACGTTCTTTTTTTAAAAGTAAATAGAGTCCCCTTTCTTTAATTTTGCCAAGTCAAATACTGTCCATAATCACACATAAAATCAAAGCTGTACCGAGCCATTTTCTATCGTGAGGCAGAACTGAAGCAATGCGCCCCTAGGTTGCAGGGTTGACAAACTCTCAGTTTCTTATATGTTTAATACGATTCGAAAAATCTGAAAAATTGTAATTGCTATCAATATTTTGGAAATAACCATAATATCAATTTTGATATCAATACAGACTTAGAAGTATTAAATACCCAAAATAATATTTACATTAATTCAGTTTTAGAAGAGTTAAAAATACACAATGAAATAAATAAAAACTTTAATAATATTTTAAATGTAGGTGAGGTAATAATTCAGGCTACACATTAATTTGTTTATTTTTTCTTTTTATAAACTATTTATTTATATATTAATTTACTAATATTACCTAATTACTAATTATTGTTTTATTTTATTATTTTATTACAAAATATAATTATGATAAAGCTGCAATAAATCAGCATGAATTTAAACATTTAAATTTAAAATATAAATTAATTTATTATTATAT